TTTTTCTATAATGAGGATTAGGACTACTTATTGGTTAGTTGGGTTCTAGGACACCATTTGAGTGATCCTCTCATTTCCCGGCTTTGTGTTATTGTTGTTGCTGTGTCTCATATTTTTGGTTGTCTGGTTCTCGATCTCAGAACATTGTATTTTTTCTTATTTATGAGATGTCTATCGTTTGAAAAAAAAAAGTCTGAACTTCAATCACCTCTCGTGAGCTTTCTCCCTTACCAAGAATGAGGAATGAAATACTATATTCATATTTCGGAATTACTGATTCACAACTTCTATTCAGTTAATTTTACAAGAATATAGAGGGACATTTGATATGGGATAACGTACTGGGTCGAGTGAACCCGAAAAACAGCGTGACCAAACCAGATGAGCTGGCAGGTCGAACAGGGATTAAAGGCTTCTCAGGTCAAAGGACCTTCAGGTTGAGGGGGACATCGTAAATTTAAGGAACACCGACAGGTCGAATTAGGGCCCTCGACATATTCAAGGAACACCAACAGGTCGAATTAGAGTCCTCGGATGGCCTGGTTGAAGTTCGAGCTGAAAGTACAACTCGTCATAGGATCGACCAGATGAGCAGAACCTAGGAGTTCGATTCATTGGCACTCTACCACCAGGTAATTGGGGTTTGGCGCACTATTAGACCGTATAATAAGGAAGTCTAAATAATATGAATAAATATTATTAGAATAAGATCCCCACGTGGTTTAGCAGAATTGGGTAATTCGAGTAGTACGAACAGGCAGTCTTGGGTACCAAGGTTTATCTTCATATGTAAGGGAGTGAGACATGGCCATTGTTACATTACACTCTCTGCATACTTACATACTGCACGTTATCTTCTACAGAGTGCTAACATATGCATCGGATACTCTTCACTGGAAAACTCCTTCGGTGTTGAGTTTTTGCAGGTCTGAAGGATGATCTACCGACGAGGCAACCATATCAGGTCAAAACCGAGCTTATTAAGGTCAATTCATACCATTTAGCGTCGTTTATGGAAACTTGTTCAAAAAGCCATTGAAGCTTTTTCATTCATGGCAAACGAGATTCCCAAGAAAAACTTGGGATCAACATGATGCATTGCCGAACACGCATCCATTTGGAGCAGGCCCACCACCAGGCTTCTCTGGACCTCTTCAGACCCCTGTGACCCTGACGCGCGCATCCTACAGACTTAGGGAGCTCATTGGCGGTCTCAGTCGCAACTACTGGGCCAAGCAACCCGTCGGAGGCCCAAACAACCCAAGAGGTAGCAGATATGGCCTAGACGCAGCCACAAAGAGCGATGGCCCAGGTAAATGGATCCTTCTAGGACCGAGGCTGAACGACGGGAGCACCAGCTTGTCTCGATTTCAAGGGAGGAAGTCGAAAGTATAATAACAAATACCGTTGCAGCTGGAGCAGCCCAGCCGGTCACTCACCAAACGTCACAGCCAACTACCGCGCCTACTACGATGGTTGGAACAAACAAGCAAGATGTTGAGATGGATAAGTCAAGCATCTAGGACCCTGGTGCTGATAGAGATCGAGCGGTGGAGAGAATGGCGGAGCAGATTCGTTAACTGCAAGCCAAGGTCAAAGGGAAGACAGTGGGTTGAGGTTGAGGGCATCGATTTTTTTAGGAGATCTTCGATGCTGCTCTACTAACAAACTTCAGGGAGGTTAGTTTAACGTATGATGGTTCGATAGATCCGTCGATGCATGGGAGGTCGTTCGAAGATATGGTTGTGTTTGCACGAGTATTTGGTTACCGTGTGTTGTGGAGCTTTCGTAGCCATTCTGAGGGGAAAAGCTCAAAATTGGTTTCATCAGCTCCCCCCCAGGGTCGGTAAAGCAATTTGATAATTTTTTGCGGGCTTATTTTTGAACAAGTACGCATGTGCGATATCCCAGGAAGAGATTACTTGACATTGATGGCAATGTGACAGAAGGAAGGTGAATCCATGAGAAATTATATGGCTAGATAAAATCGGTCTTGCGTGGAAATACCCTCGGCCCCGAACGAGGTCAAGGCTGGGGGTCTCATAAGGAAATTGCGAGTTGGTCTGTGTCAAAGATCTCTTGCTAAGATGACGACCAGAACATATGATGATGTGTTGAAGAGGTGAAAAAAATACATAAATATGGAGAAGACCGGAGGAGTTTGCGAAAGCTCGAGAAGATGGCTCGACAAGAGGTTAAGAAGGAGAGGGAACATTCGCCTATAGAAACATTAGAGAGGTGAAGGGAGTACAAGTGGCAAGATCGACCTCTGATAAATGGTCAGAGGTATGAGAAGTACACCACTAAAAACACAAATGGTGAAGGTGCACAAACTAATCGAGTGAAGATTGGATGGTCGGATGGTAACGTCGCCAAAGTTGAGGAAAGATGGACTGACACATCCAAACTTAGGTTGATATTGTAGGTTTCACCACGACTATGGTCATAATCGAGAGGTTGATACGGGCAAGTCACCTCAAGGAGTTTGTATATAAAAAGAGGGCGAAGAAGGAGAAAAAAAAAAAGATGTAGAGAGGACCAAGATGATGCTGATGACAAGAAGGATAGAGAGATGTTATCGGACTACAGGTGGTGGTCGATGCACACGTGTGCCCGTGTTGTGCACGTTGTGCACCCCGGGGTCATCTGCATGAGTCTTATGTCTCCTGGTATGAAGGCAGGGGCCCTGCACTACGCCTATGCGACGAGGTCACTACGAATGCTGGGTTGCGCGTACAGTACACGCGACACCAGTCTCCCCACAGAGGTCGCGCGAGAGAACTAAGAAGTGCATATGCGCTGCGCGGGAATCCCATGTGCGGGTCGTGATGCCTACGAGTAAATTACGTGCCCATCTGCGTGTTGTTCGACTGAGGGAAGTGTGTACCGCGTGTGCGCGGGCATGT